CTTCACCAAAAAAAAAAAAAAAAGGAAAGGACCCACATGTACAAAAATATTTATAGCAGCTTTTTTGTGGAGGCAAAATGGAAATTGAGGGGATGCCCATCATTTGAAGAATGGCTGAACAAGTTGTGATATATAAGTGTAATGGAATCCTATTGTGCTATAAGAATGATGAGCAGGCAGACTTCAGAAAAACCTGGAAAGACTTACATGAACTGATGCAGAGTGAAGTGAGCAGAACCAGGAGAACATTGTCCACAGTAACAGTCATGTTGTGTGATGATCAGCTATGACTGACTTAGCTCTTCTCAGAAATACAATGATCCAAGATAATTCCAAAAGACTCATGATGGGAAATGCCGTCTGATGCGGTTCAGAGGTTCAGGGGTGCTGGGAGCCCAAAATCACAACATGCGGGTTCTGTCCGAAAGAATTTGACCCAAGCCTTCTTTCAGCCAAAGACAAGGTTTATTAGAACATCCATCATATTGGGCAGATTCTTAAGGAGTCTGAACATTAGTAAGCTATTGGCTAGATTTTAAGAATCTAAGCATCTTGAGGGAGACAAGGAGGACTTTATATATAGAACGACTGTGGGGGGATCTAGGAGTGGCCAGTAAACTGGGGTGAAGAGAACTCCCTGGACTAGGACCTGGACCTCCTGGCCAAGGGAGCCTAGCTAGGATTAAGGGTGGGAAATGGCCAGGGGCCATAGGGAGGTAAAACAATGGAGGGAGATTGGGTGTAGCCACAATGAAAGGCCAGTTGATGGGATTATAGCCTCAGGGGAACTCCAGATATTTGGCCATGTGGGAAAGTACAGGATTTTTCCTTTCTGGGGCCCAGATTCCAACCCCATCACTGTCCACATCCAGAGAAAAAACTGATGTAGTCTGAATGCAGATTGAAACATACATTTTCACTTTCTTTATTTTTTTCACAGTTTTTTTTCTCTTTTTTTCTGTTTCTCCTCTTACAACATGACTAATACGGAAATATATTTTACATGATTGCATATAGATAACCTATATCAAACTGCTTACCATCTTAGGAAGGAGGGGAGGGAGGGAGAAAATTTGGAACTCAAATTTTTATAAAAAAAAGAATGTTAAAAATTGTCTTTACATGTAATTAAAAATGCTATTTCAAAAATAAAATAAAACAGCATAAATTATTGCCAACATTTCCTTCATCTTCTGTCTTAGTGATTCTTTCGAAAGAGGAAAGGTATGGTTTGCATGACTTCACTTATATATCATATTGCTTGCATTCTCAAGGGGTTGGAGGAGAGATAGAATCTGGAACTCAAAGTTGCATTTTATTTTTAAAAATATTTTGTTTTTCCCCAATTACATATAAAAACAAATTTTAACATTCATTTTTTTAAATTTTGAGTTCCAAATTCTCTCCTTTCCTCCCCACTTCCCCATGGTAAGTGATTTGATATAGGTTCTCCATACTAGTCACGTTATGAAAGAAAACAGATTTTAAAAAGCCATAAAAAAAAAAGTGAAAAATAGTATGCTTTGATCTGCATTCAGACTCCACCAATTACTTCTCTGGAGATGAATAACATTTATCATCATGAGTCCTTTGGAATTGTCTTGGATCATTGTATTACCAAGAAGAGATAAGTCATTCACAGTTGATCACTGCACAATGTTGCTGTTACTGAGTACAGTGCTCTGGTTCTTATCACCTCATTCAGCATCATGTAAGTTCATGTAAGTTCGGGTTTTTCTGAAATATGCCTGCTTATCATTTCTTATAGCACAATCATATTCCATTACATTCATACACCACAACTTGTTCAGCCATTCCCCAATCAATAGACATTTCCTTAATTTCCAATTCTTTGCCACCACAAAAAGAGCTGCTATAAATAATTTTGTACATATAGATCCTTTTCCTTTTTCTTTAACCTCTTTCAAGTGCAGAACTAGTAATGTAGTGGTATTGCTCGATCAAAGGATACACATAGTTTAATAGCCCTTTGGGCTCAGAAACTCAGTTTTTTAGAAAAAAAAAATGAATGCCAAAAAAAATTTTACACGTAATTGGGAAATATTTAACAAAAAAAAGAAAGGTTAGTCTGGCATGCCCCATTTTCAAGAAGCCATGCTTTAGTTCTAATTACTGCTTCCCTTTCTAATTAGCTGTCGTTTGCAAACCACTTAAAAGTGGTTTGCAAAGCACTTTACAAACATTATTTCATTTTATCCTCACAACAACGTGGAAGATAAGTGGGGTTATTATCCCCATTTTACCAATAAGGAAATAGAGGCTGAGAATCATAAAGGCTTGTATCTGAGTCATAAAGGCTAGTGTCTGAGCTTGGTTTGGAATGCCAATCTTTCAGACTCCAGGGCCAAATCTCTATCCACTAGCTATTTCTAGGTGTCTGTCAACCAGCTCTTAATGATCTGTTCTTGAATTTTCCTGGGAAAAGCAAACTTCCTGGTCTATAGTTTTCAGGCTCCATTCTCTTTCTTTTTTATGAAAACTGGGCTAATATTTGTCCTTTTCCAATCTTGTGGTTCACCTCTCCTGTTGACCATGATCTTTCACCTGTCACAGAAGGTGGCTCAGTACCAACACATGCCAATACTTATGGGACCTATGGATGTAATTCATCTGCCCCAGGTTGACTTGAAGTTCCAAAGTGCAGTTAGGAGCTCTTATCATCACATTACTTAGCTTGGTCACCAATCTCTTGTAAGTCATTTTTTTTTTGCAGTCATTTACAGTGTAAAAGATCATTTTCTTTTGAAAATTAAGCAGCTCTGCCTTTCCTCCTTGTAGGTTATCATCATTCCTTGGCCCTCAGGCAAAGGCCCTATACTTTGATAGTTATTCCCCCATATATGACTTTTATCAGCAGCCCATTCTGAGCCTCAGTATTCCTCGAACACCATACTGGAGGGACTATAGGACTCTCTCCTATTTATCTCATTATTTGGCCTGGCTTCTGTCTTCCATAGTCTACAGAAGTTTACAATGTACCATTATTATTTTTTGAGGAATTTAATGGGGTGATATATTTGAGCAGATGACTGTGACAGAAGGGAAAGCGTGTAGTAAAAGAGAGAACCAGGCTAATATGGACAGATTTTTGGGAGAACTCAGTATTCACCTGGAGCCTAGGGTGTCTTGCTTCCTGGAGGGCCTAAGAGGGTACATATCATTCCACGTCTCACCATGTCACCCCTGTTCTCAACAAACCCCAGTGACTCCCTATCAATTTCAGGATCAAAGAGAAAATCCTCACAAGTTCTTCATCGCCAAGCCTCCTCCCCCACCCCCCCACCTTTCCAGTTTTCTTAAACATTATACCCTCCCATATCCTCTTCCATCCTGCTGTTCCCTGAACAAAACGCTCTCCAAACTCAGGAATTTTCCATGGCTGTGTTCCCATGCCTGGAACACTCTCCCTCCTCATCTCCACCTCCTGATTTCCCTGGTTTCCCTCAGGTGCCACCTAAAAGCCCACCTATAGGAAGCCTTCCCTAATCCCTCTCAAATTCTAGTGCTTTTCCTCTGTTGATTATTTCCTATTTATCCTGTATATGACTTGTTTGCCCTGTTACTTTGCATGTTGTCTCTCTCTCTCTCTCTCTCTCTCTCTCTCTCTCTCTCTCTCTCACACACACACACACACACACACACACACATACACACACACACACACAGAGTTAGACTGTGTCTTTTGCCTTTCTTTGTATCCCCAGCATTTAGCTCAGTGCCTGACTGCCTGGTATGGCAAAGTTACAGAAAGCAGGCAATGGTGGAAATCTGTTTTGCTTGCCTCTGCATATCTATCACCAGGTTGTTTCTTTGTACCGCATCATGATGGGAGTGGGGTAAGGGAAAGGAAACAAAGCCTGCTCCAAATACTCCAAGGTTAGGGGCTTTGTTTTCAGCCTGACCCATTACCCAGACAGGGCTAAGTAATAGTGTCCTCTCTACTGAAGCCTTTCCATACTGCACTCTGTCCTCTCAGGGCCAGATTCTTTTTTTCTTTCAAACTAACAATTAACTCATCTGATTAACCTATGATGATAATGTGCTAATAGAAAGACCATTAGCAGAACAAGCCAGGTCCCTTCCACCCCTCCCTTAGCACCCCAGTGGTTAACATGTGACATATACTTCAGTAGGGAGACAATGGAGTGTGACCATGGTCACCCCTTCCTCCCTCACCCCCTTATACAATGCATGTAACCAGTAATCAAGACAGATTTGAATTTGCATTATCAGATTTACTTTTATTACTATACATTAAGTGTCTCAAAGTACACGTGTGCAAAATTTCCCAGTGAAGTCAGTCAATCCCACCAAAAGATATATGCACATAAGCACACACACACACACACACACACATATATACATTTTATATATATAGCATATGATATACAATAAAATCCAATAGATTCCATATAAAATACTGTTAAAATATAGAGCAGCAAAGTCCTGGCAAAACATTCCCTGATTTTTTTTTGGAGCAGCCTCTGGATACACTCCAGGGCATCCTCTGGGTCCTTGGTGGCCCTGGCCCCACTCCGTCCAGGGCCATCACTGACTGCAGTATCAGAGGTCACAGTCAATAGCAGGCACTATTTGCTACAGGGGTCTCTTCCCAGCAGTTGTATTGTTAGCCTTCTCAGGATTAGAGCTGGACATTTCCTCTTCAATCTTATTGTCAGAGAATACAATTTGGTCCTCAAAAATAGTCTTTTTGTAGGGTTGGATTTTTTTTTAAGAAAGGTGCGCTTTTTCCCCCCTGATGGGGAAACAAACCCAAAGCTATCCGTGATGGAGTGAGCAACTTCTTTTACTTCAGCTGAAGCTCAGTGGTCATGAAATGTCAAGACATCCCAGTCCTCTTTTTGAAGATGTTGCAACATTTACTTCAAAAACATGATCTGGGGGCAGCTAGTTAGCACAATGGATAGAGCACCGGCCCTGAAGTCAGGAGGACCTGAGTTCAAATCCGGCCTCAGACACATAACACTCACTAGCTGTGTGACTCTGGGCAAGTCACTTAACCCCAACTGCCCTCACAAAAAAAAATTTCCAAAAACATGATCTGCATTGTGATTCTAGATTATAGCTTGCAGAAAAACAACTCTGACTTGTCCAAATAAACAGAGATCTGAAAAATCCCCTGCATAGGGATGACAAAGGATGGCACGCTGGGTGAACTCCTGTCAGTGCCCTGTGGACTCAAGTTCTCCTTCTGTTACATGGAAGCACGCAGGCCCTTGTCAGTTATCGACCAATCCCTGGGTCTTTAGGTCCTTCTTGACCCATGAAATCAGGTAGCACCTGGAGATCAGACCGGGTTAGGAAGGTCTGAAAGCATCTGCTCCTGGCAAGTCAATCCAAGTACTTGGAACAGGGTCTCGGTTAGGAATGCTGGCGATCTGAAGGAGGTGGTGAGGCCACAGGGTAGGCTGAAGTAGAAGTTCTAAGAGACGCACACGGGGAAGAGGGTGAGCCACCACGCATTAGGTTCCTAGATTCCCTCCCTTGGAGCACGAATGGGGCTGTAGCAGAAACCTTGACCCTGCTTCATCTGTCAGCTCCCTCCTGGGCTAAAGCACATTATATCCCCTTGGGAACTGAAACTACATGTACAAATGTGCACATAAAGCACGAGGGAGGTTATGCTCATCATAAAACCAACACTGCCCCTGCCTTTTCTTCCATAAGATCCAGCTTTAAGGAAATCAATGGATAGCAGGGAAACCTGATGCTATTTGTAAGCTGAACTGTAAACATGAGTCCTAGACTGCTGAGAAAGGTTGTTTTCTGGGCCCACCTGGCCCTCAAACCCTTAACCAAACCTGATAACAAGAGTAGTTTTCTGCCTTGATCCTGTCACTAGGATCCAGAAACAGCCTGCAGACTGAGTTCCCAATAGGATTTCTCATTACACGGGCTAAATAGTGATTAAATTATACACATACAGCATCAGTCTTAGGGGGGACTGCAGGGAAGGAGAGGGGAATCACCAATTCCTACGGGCGATACAAGCAGCACAGCACGGCCACTCGGCTTAAAAGTCTCCTTAGGACACAGTCATGGGAGGAAGAGCTAAAGAACTATGACTGTGAGGGTAAAGTACACACAGTTTGCATAAGCCTCAAGCATTGAGGGAGAGTATTCAGTACAAATACTACGATAGCCCAGAAATGCAAGGACCTGAAACTTCACCCAGGAACTAGGAATCCTCTCTTCCAGCCATGTTGGTAGGACTCCTCGGACAGTGAGTAGGAGAGAGACCAAGCCAATGACCTGCCTGTCTGTCCCCTGCCCAGACTGAGAGAAATGTACATGGATAATTCACTACTTTGGTATGAACATCAAACTCTTTCCCTAGATCCCCAATCTATGAAACAATAGCACCAGGGGATGGGATGCTTCCCAGAGAAATTTTAAAAAACCACACTGTGTGAAGTTGAGTGAGGGCTACAGTCCTCTCTTACATTGTGCTGAGAAAATACAGAATCTGGCAGTAACACACAGTTAATACAGCCTTTAAAAATGGAAAGCGGGAAGGGGACGACATGGATGGACCCCAAACCAAAGTCTAGGGTACACAAAACACTGTAGCAGCAAGCAGATCCTCCACTTACAACTTGAGGAAAGGGCCAGAGCGTGGGTGTAGCTGCCGGGCCAAAACAAAGATGGAAGCCACGTACGTGCACAGGGGACTAGAAGAACAGATCATCCAATCCAAAGTCTGGGGAGTTGAGAGGTGGGGAGATAAGGAAGAGTGTGGCAGGAAAGGAAGGGAGGCTCTGAAGAAGTAGGCATTGTTATAGCTAAAGCAGTCAGCCTTGAATGGCCACTCGTGTTGTGTTGTGTGTTTGTAAGAGTCAGGGGGTCCCATGTCTTAAGGGCCCCTGGCCAAGAGCTGGAGACTGGTTTTGGCAGGATGGGCATCCCTCCCTCCCTCTCACTCTTGAAAGAGAGGCCTGGAGCCTGAAGTTGTGACAGCACCAGCAACACAATGATGATCAGACTGGATTCCTCGCTTCTCTGGAAGGAGTCAACACCCAGATTATGTCCAACTCAGGGTATACCCAAAACAAGGTCTTCTTTACATTTCTGAGAATTTAAAATAAAACTAGAACCCAAAAGATGGTTGGAAAAGATGTGTGTGAAACCTTTCTAGTGATCTCTGAGACCAATCTCTTCATTGCCACTCAACAAACAGCTCTACCAACAATCAGACTCGTTCCCTTTAGAGAAATTAACAAGCTCACCGTGGGGATTTGACCCAAAAGCCGACCGATGGGATGATAAGGCCGGGAAAGAGAATGTGTCTAATCACTGATGCAGAGCTGAGACCTCATTCACGTCAAAATGGCGAAACAGATCACGGCCTGTAGAGGGAGGCCCAATTCAAAACTCTGATCTAAAAAATAAAAATTAAATTAAGGAAAAAAAAAACACCTTCAAGATAGTGAAGCAGCATTTTCCCCCTCATCGGGCTGGAAGGGAAGGCATCCAGGGTGACGGAGTGTGCAGGCTGGTGGGACACAGCATCACAAACCAAAGAGAACATTTTTCAAGTAGGAAAGAGCCGTCCCGTTGGAGAGCATCTGAATGTGTTCATTTCCCTTCAGCTCGAGCAGGGTCACCTCCTGCTTCTGCTGATTCACCCACTTCTGGCAGTGTAGGGCACTCTCCACATTCACTGTACCATCGCCGTCACCATAGAAAATCTTGGGGTCTCGGTCAGAAAAGTTTTCATAGTAGAAAGAGTCTGGAGTCTGGACACCAGTACCATACAGGCAATGGAGCCGTACTCCAGGGGGAGTCATCTGATAGACCAAGGGCTCTGTGTCTTGTCTCATGAGCCAGCCGTCCTCAAAGCCAATATCCTTATAGAACTGCTCGTAGTCCCGGAGGGTGTAATTGGCTTTGGGGGTTCTCACAAAGACCTTGTCTGGGGACCAAGTATAATTGTAGGGAAGCAGCCAATTCGTCGAGACGGCAGATCTCTGTTGCTCTCTGATTTTTAGAGGACTGATGACCGGAATTCTGTTGTTGTCTCCTGTCACGGGGTAAAGTCTTTGGTTATTCATTTATGGCTTGCCATCAGACTCCTCTCCCTGACCACTAAGCAGCTCTTAGCTCACTAAAAAGACCCAGAAATGTGAGTAAACACCCTACTGACCCATCCAGATTGGCCAAGAGGGGAGTAAGAGTCTGGGGATATCTAAGTTCAGGCTTGCCCTAAAGGAGTCCTTTCTCCTTGCAGGGAAGGGTCATGGAGGGCTTGCTTCCCATTAACCATCATCTCTGGCCCTTGACCACTCCGGTTTAGCTACCCCTACAAGACAACCATGACGAGATTGCTCACTGCAGCACTACTTCCAAGCACAGGGCAGGATCCCAGAGGGCTAGACTGAGATGCAGAAGGAGTCGAGCTCAAGGAGGAAATAACTGAAGACTCTGCCTCTCTCCATCCACAATCCATGAAATTCAGAGGCAAGAGCGACATGGAGAGCCACCAGGTGTCACTGCTGACTCACAAGGCAGAGGCCAAGGGAATCCTCATGTTCATAGCTTCTAGAGCGGAAAGGGACCCTCAGGTCCTTTACTTCTACTGGCCAAAAAGACCTACAACTGGGATTCCCATCTAAAAGAACTAAACTCCCAACAACCACTCCATTATGCTACTCTGGCCCTATTACTGGAGACTCACAAGAGCTCAACATCATAAGTGTTGCCTAATGGAACCAAGGCTCAGGAAGAACAGCAAAGAACACCCTTCCTAAAGAAATGCCCGGGAGGAGGAAAAGAAAAGCACAGAACAAGGGTGGGGCCCCAGTTCCACAGGTTCCCCACTCCTGCATAGAGCCACAAAACACAAAGGCCAACAGAGCCTGACAACTATGCCCAGAAGGTCTCCTGAGAGATGTGGAACAGACACACAGAAGAGAAAAAAATTTACTGGTCTGGGAAATTCTCATTTCAGAGGATACATTCCCACTCCAGGAACCCAGTGCTACAAACAGTCGTTGCTTTACATCCTCTCCTCCACATCAGTTCAGAGACCAATCAATGAGCCTCGTTTCAGTTAAAGCCATACAGGGCAGTATTCCTGGAGGTGAGGTTGGGTACCGTCCCAGTCCTGATCCCTAGCTGAATAAATTTAAGCTAATTACTCCTCTGCCCCAGAGGTCATCATTTCTCTCAAAGTGAAATGAGACGGGGTTAGACCAGAGGGTTGATCTCAAAGGGCCTTTTGGTACCTTCTTTAACCCTGAAGATGAGCCCTGGAGTCTCTGGAGCAATAATAGCAAATACAAATCACTAAGGAGAGATGTGACTTTCTGTTCAGGGGAGGCTAACAATAGAAGCAATAGGGATATGGTACTTTCAAGTATGCAAAGCACTTTACAGGCATTGTATCAACAGCTGTGGGAAGCACCCTTAGGGGCCTTCAAGTTCAACCCCTTCATTTGACAGGACAAACTGACACCCTCTCAGCTACCACAGGTCTGAAGTAGGATTTGAATCCAGGTCTATGCTAAGCATTATCTAACAGGAGCCTGGTGCCAACCATGCAAGGTAACACTGCTATTATCTCCCTGCTATAGATGAGGTAATTAAAGCTTAGACAGAGTCAGTGACCCAACTATAATCCTAAACTATTGTCAGGCCTGGGACTGAACCCAAGCTTTCCGCTACACTGCCCCCCTCCAAATGATTAACAGCTTCAGTGAACTGTGAGCTCATTAAATCATCCTTGGCTTGGGCCATGGCGTCTTCGAAACAAATGCTATCCTCGATGGCAATAAGAAAAATCCAAGGGATCAGAAAAAATCTGAACACTGCTCAAGCTAGGACAGAATCACCCTCCACTTTGGAAATGCTGAAAATCCTCTCATTCCTTCCTTCCTCCTTCCCTCTCTTCTTCCTTCTCTCCCCCCTCTCCCTTCTTTCCTCCCTCTCATCATAAACAACAGGCAAGCAGTTTCTAGTTGAATCAGTCAACCTGACACAAGGAAGGAAAGGCTAAAGAGCTGACGAGGCCGCAGACAACAACCATGAATGGCCGGCCTGACAGGCACATGCCACACTCGGCCACTGCTGCAGAATCTGGGTTCTCGTTTCCCCAAGAGCAGAGGCTGGCAGAATTTCTGAGAGGATCCTCCCTTTGGAAAGACAACCAGGAAGCACATATTAAAGAAAACAGAAAGCTGGTCACTCGCCACAGGCCAAGGACACTGATGGACGCCTAGGGTCAGTTACTATACGCACGTTTAGAAGCAATGGCAATCAGGCCCTAATGCTCTGATTCTATAAATTAGGGATGACAGACAAGGAGAATACATTTTTCCTCTCACATCAGCCTTGATTCTACTGATGACCTTTCCCTTTCACAGGAGGACCCCAAAACCTCCCTGTCCCCACACTCTACCTTCTCCCAGTAGGAACCAACCTGAAGCTAGCACTCGAAGGGTCTTGGCGACCCCTCCCCAGGGAGGGCCCAGTGCCACAAAGGAATGGATGTACTTGTCTTTCCAGTCCTGGGACTGCCGGTTGAGGAAATAAAGTGTATACATGTTGCCCATGCTATGGGCGATGAGGACAACGGGGCCTCTGTACTGCTCATACATCACCTCAATCATCTTGCGGAGAGCACGGAAATAGTATCTATTTTCATCTAGGAGAGAAAGTGAGGCACGTGCAGGTTAGAGAAAGTGCAAAAATCTCCACAAAGAGGTTTAAGAGGAAAACTTGGGGCATCCATTGGGCTGGCTATATGTAAGGGCTTGAACAAAAAAATTAGGAGATGACAGGTAGGGGGTTGTATTTCTGCTTTTCTAACCTCTCTCTCTCTCTCTTTTGGACAAGACAGAAGTGGGGTGAGAGACAAATTTATTAAGGTGACAATTTTTAGATTTTCCTGCAAGGGCCTCCATCCCTCTAATAGAAAACAAAATAACATACAACTCAGGTTCAGGGGATGGTAAAATGATTTACAGGAAGGGTAACACAGTACCCACACGGTGGGGACACGTTCCTCCTCTGCCACACACAAGCCCTGGGCAAATGTCCTCCATGTCAACAGCACTTACTTGGGGCTTTTCTCCAGTCATAGGGAGCTCCTTGGACATCTTCTCCTCTGCTGTAACCCCAGCCCACTAGGCTCTCTACCAGAGTGAAGAAATAGGCTCCTGTGAAGGACAGACACAGCACAGAAAGGATCAGTGAGTGGCTCTTGGGACCCCCTTGATTGTGCAGCACAACTCACCATCACAGTCCATCTGGGGATTTGATTGGATGCCAGAGAACATAAGAACGCTGACTACTCTCATCTGATCCAACAGCTATCACCCTGTGAGGGGAGGTAGGAAAGACAGCACTTTGGACATTTAAAAATGTCAGAATCTTCAGTCTGTCACCTATGGAATGGGGAGGATGGACTAGAGTAGACAGATGGTCCCAGAGGGGCCTTCCAACGCCAGCTCTATAACTCTGCTGCCAAGAACCCTCACACAGCTGGCAGGAGCACACCAGTGTGTGGCCCACACAATCCCGTCTAGCACCAAGAAAGCATGTCGAGGGAGACTGGCTGCCATGTTCTACAAGAGACACCCAATAATTAGCATGAACCACAGAAAATCCCCCAAAAGAAAAAGCAATCAAGTTAGAAACCACTCTGAGGGATTGAGCCAAAGATTATTCTGTGCCAAATTTCACCTAATGAGCATCACACACTGCCTTATCACCTGATTCCAAAGCCAGCTGGGGAGGCAGTGCAGCATAATGGAAAGAGCCCCAGACTAAGGAGTCAGGGCTCTGCACAAAATACTTAAAGCTTAAAGGGATACTAATCTCACTATGTCATATTGAAGATGAAATGATCTGCCCAAGACCACCCAGGCAGTTAAGTGGGAGAGCCAGGAGATAAGAATCCAAGTTCTCTAAGTCCAGCCCTCTTCTCCTCGCCCTCCCCTACCATCCTGGTTCTACTAATTAGCTGTGACCCACAACCGATCCAAGCCTCAGGGGCTGGCCTAGATGACTGGATAAGCTGTGATCTAGCTTCACCACTCCTCGTACCCTTCTCATACTCTGATGATTTTCCATTTTTCAAAATAAAGTTCTGTTTTGAGAAGTCACCATTTAGAGCGGTCAATACTTATCTGGCCTGTGGAAATCACAAGATACCAGCAAAGCATCAGCTGACCTTTATTCCAGAGGTGACGCCTCACAGGACTTCTCAAAAAAACCACAGGATCTTCTAGGAAGCGGGCAGCTCATAAATTTAGAGCAAGGAAGGCCCTCAGGGGCCAGCTAGACCAAGCCCTTCACTTTACAGAGCAGGAGACCTTCAAAGGTAAAGGCATTTGTCCAAGGTCACCCACGTGGCAGTGCCAGGATCCCTGCCTCCCGGTCCAGTGCTCCTTCCACTTGGATCAACAGGTCCCAGGTGGCTGGAGCCTTCCTACGCCACCGCTGGGGGCGGCACTGGATTTACAGGTAGAGGAATATGCCTGAATCTTGCTTCTGCTACAGATTCCCCTTCTCTGAGTCTCCGTTCTCTCCTTCATTTTCATTTAAAAAAAAGAAAAAGAGAAGAAAGTCCAGGAGTAGAGAAGAGATAGAAGAAATGATCTCTAAGGTTCCTTCCGGCTTGTAATCAATGCTAAGATCTCAACATATTCTATTTTAAGAGGGTCAGAGATTCCAGAGTTTTCTCCAAAATGACAGAGATTTAGCCCTGGGATCTCTTCAAATCCCTCATTGTCAAGATGAGCTACTGGTCAAAGGTTAGCCCACTGACAAGCATTTCATAAGCATTTTCCTTTGCGTTGTGTAGGTATCGAGTGTTGGGGTTCCAAAGAAAGGCAAAAATATGGTCACAGCTAGTGAGCCACCAGGCAGTATTCAAACCCGAAGCCGGGGATTCCCAATCCAGTGCTCCCGGCAGAGGGACCCTCTGTCCCTCCACCTCCTGCAAACTCAAAGGGCAGCAATTCCACCCCTCTACTCCCTGCCAGGATGGAAACCGGGTTTTCTCTTCTGCATTCCTTCAGGTTTGGTACCTCCTCTTCCATATCTTCCCAGACTACTTTAGCCATCCTAATCCCTTCCCAGCTCCAAACCTGACAGTGCGTAGGACCTGAATCTTAGTAATCCTCCCCTAACACCCAAGTGACACCTGTGCGAGCATCCAGTCTTGGCATGGGTTTGTGACTGGCTTCCCTAAAGACTAAACCCCTTCAGGGATGAGACTATGTGTCCCCCACGGAAATACAACAATGCCTTATGCAGTCAGGCTTGCTGACTACATGACAACCAAACCTCAAAAGCACAACTCGGGTTTCTGGATCTCTCTGAGTTTCCCCACAGCTGCCTTGTTTTGGTAAGCAGTACAATTTATTATTGTTATTATTATTAATATTATTATCATCCTCACTGTACATATAGGGAAAGTGAGCCTCTCAGAAGATATATTCAAATTGCTGACTTGAGATTTATTCAAGTACCTAGCAGCATGGTGAAAAGGCTTTGCCATGGTAACTGGAAGACTGCAGTTCAAATCTCATCTCTCATCACTTATTATTGGGCAAATCAGCCTCGGTTTCCTCATCTGGAAAGGAGGGATAATAGCTGGCCTCCTTACCTTGGGGAGCCTGCTGTGAGGACCAAATGAGAATGAACGACAAAATGCTTTGTAAACTAGAGAAAGATGGATTTCAATCCCACCAGTCTTGTCTTCACAAGAAAAAAAATGATATGAGCAGTTTTGGGGGTTTTTTTTGGCTTTTTGGTGAAGCGATCTGGGTAAAGTGACTTGACCAGGGTCACACTGCTAGTAAGTGTCAAGTGTCTAAGGCCAGATATGAACTCAGGTCCTCTTGACTCCAAGGCCAGAGCTCTATCCGCTGAGCCACCTAGATGCCCCTAGCAGTTTCTATTTAGATGCTCAGGGAAACTGGGAGGGAGGTACCAGGGGGCCAGGATACTACCTACCAACAAAAGCTTTGTTAGGATCGAGGTATTCCACAGAAAAGGTGTCTCCAAAGCCAGGAACCTTCACATCCACACCATCTGGAGACTGAGTGGTCCTGGTGGTTCTGTTATATACCAATCTGTTGGAAAAGTCAAAACAATAGATACATGTTTAACTACCTGAAAGTGTCCAACAATACTGGAACAAACAGGGAACACAATGGGGATGCTCTGAAGCAAAATGCACCCAATGTCCATTCCCTAATCCCATCATAATTGAGATGCTCAACAGCACACAGGCCAGAACACACACTGGGATGTGTCCCATCCTTCATCAACAGGCATCTATTAAATGCCACAGGGGATACAGACAACACACAAAACGGTCCCTAACCTCAAAGAACGTGGGAGAGATAATATGTAAACATAAGTACAGTTAGGCCCCACAATTGCAAATAATGTCTCTGAAGTGATCCCATATATTCAAATCCACACAATTTGAAGTTATAATTATGTAATATATGGTAACTAGCTCCAGCCCAACGTAAATATCCTATGGGGATTCAAATAATTTGACCAATTACAAAATTAATTATTCTTACTAATTAGGACCTAGCTGCATGTGTCTGCAATATTTATATATATGTGTGTGCATACATACATACACACACACACACACATTTATATATGTGTACACACACATACATGGAGAGAGGGGGAGATGGGAGGGTGGGGAGACGAGGAAAGGTCTGAACTGAGGAGGTGGCTAAGCCTGAAGGAAAGCAGAGATTCTAAGAACAGGTAAGGAAGCATCATGTTGCAGGTATTCCAGTTGGAGGGTGTTAAAGGCACAGAGATGGAAGATAGGTATCTGTGATATCTTTCTTGCTACTTTCTCCCAAAAGTATCTAAGAGGAGAGGGTGGTTAACACTATCAAATATTGCAGAGGTCAAGAAAGATGAACATTGAGAAAAGGCCACTGGTTCTGGTAATCAGGAGATCACTGGTAATTTTGGAGAGAGCAGTCTTGGATTGGGTAACAGGACCAAAAGTTATACTGCCAAGAGTTGAAAAGTGAAGGAAGCTAGAGGAAGAAGAGGGAACTCTTTCTACTATAGACAATACTACATCTTTAAAAATAAAAAAAAAGGAGGTAAGAACACAATTACAAAACACTTCACAGAAATAAAGACAGATCTAAATAATTAAAGAAGAATTCCTCATGAGTAGGCTGAGCCAATATATAATAAAAATGATAATACTACCTAAATCGATTTATTTAGTGCCAGGCCAATTATATTACCAAGAATTACTTTATAGAGCTAGAAAAAAAAATATCAAAAAAATTCATCTGAAGAACAAGAGGTCAAGAATATCAAGCAAATTAATGAAAAAAAAAGGAAATAAAGTGGGAATAGTAGCACTAGATCTCAAATTACACTACAAAGTTGTAATTATCAAAACAATTTGGTACCAGGTAAGAAATAGAGAGGCTGATCAGTAGAATAGATTATACAGAATATTCAGATATGCAGAATAAACAATATACAGATATAAATGAGTATATTGCTCTAGTGTTTAATACACCCAACGATACCAGCTACTAGGGCAAGAACTCGCTTTTGACAAAACCTGTTAAGAAAACTGGAAAGCAGAAACTAGGCAGAGACTGATATCTCCCACCATATACCAAGATAAGCTCAAAATGAGTACATGATTTAGACATAACGCGTGATATCATAAGTAAACGAGTAGAGCATGAAAGAAATTACCTATCAGATCCATGGATACAGGAAGAGTTCATGACCAAACAAGAGACAGAGAGGTGTTCATGAGAGGTAAACTAGGTAATTTTGATGAATTAAGTTGAAAAGTTTTGGCACAAACAAAACCAATGCAGGTAAAATCAGAAGAAAAGCAGAAACTAGGAAATAAATCTTTGCAGCAAGTTTCTCTGATAAAAATCATATTTCTAAAATATACACAGAACTGAGCCAAACTTATAACAACAAAAGCCATTCCCAAATTGATAAATGATCAATGGAAACAAATAGGCAGTTTTCAGAGGAAGAAATCTAAGCTATCAATAGCCATTATGAAAAAATGCTCTAAACCACTAGTAACTAGAGAGATGCAAATTAAAACAACTATAAAGTACCACCTCAATCTAATTGGTTAAGAGGACAAAAAAGGAAAATTACAAATGCGGGGGGGGGATGTGAGAAAATAGATACACTAATGCACTCTTGGTGTAGCTGTCCACTAGTCCAACCATTCTGGAGAATAATTCGGAACTATGCCCAAAGGGCTATAAAACTGCACACCCTTTGACCAAGCACTACCAGGAGGACCCATGTGTACAAAAATATTTATAGCAGTTCTTTTTGTGGTAGCAAAGAATTGGAAACTGAGGGGATGCTCATCAAATAGAGAGAAGAACTGGACAAGCTGTGGTGTATGAATGTGACAGAATCCTACTGTGCTATAAAACATGATGAGCAGGACGGTCTCAGAAAGCTCTAGAGAAGACTTATATGAGCTGATGCAAAGTGAAGTGCTCAGAACCAGGAGAACAACGTACACAGTAAATGCAACACTGCAACAGTGACCCACCGTGAAATGCTTGGCTGCTCTGATCAATACAGCCTTGGATCTACAACAGCTCCAGAGGATTCGCGGTGACCCACGCTGTCTGCTGCCAGGCGCAATGTTCGGGGCTCAAGAACACCGACTGCAGCATCTACTTTCTTTTTCAGAACACAGCTAGTGCAAACATTGTGTTTTGTAGGACTGTATTTGTAATGGGTTTTGTATTTCTTGCCTTCTCAATGGGTGGGGAAGGGAAAGAAACGGGAACTAAAAATGAATGTCTTTTTAAAAGCAGAGGTAACTATTTTTTAGTGTAGATAAGCTTTTTTCGGGGGGCAGGGTGGGGGAGAGGGATACGAAGAGCTGGAGAGAATGGTACTTATTATAGCAATGTTGGCCTCCCTCATATTTGGAATGTTCTTCAGGACTTGAATTGTAGTCCTAACATGCCATGGTTTGGATGTCTTTGTCTTCTCTCTCCAAGGCACTCAGGAAGTATTGAAAGAAAAATGGGAAGAAGCTTGAGCTAATTGGGTTCAGGAAGTCCTCTGCTCTAAAGAGTTAACTTTATTCCTGAACTGATGAAGCTTCTGGGGCAGACACCTATGTGTTTTGTTTAGCTGTCAGGGGTTACAAAGAATCAGTGGGTGGAAGTCTCCCAGAAGCCCCTGCTCTCTCTATTCCCTTGAGCTGTCCTAGCTAATCATTTAAGAGGGTAAAGTACTCATCTAATCCAGAAAACCACACAAAGTAATGCATGTCAAAATAATGCATGTCAAAGGGTTCAGATCTGTGAGTTGGATACAAGAAGACCCGGGAGCCTGAGCAAGCCATATGCTTATATATCTAAAAAGCCACAAAGTATCCGAAAGATGTCATATTAAAAAGACAGTGTGTTCCTTCCCATTGATACCATGGTGAAGTGAGCCGGTGGGTGCCCCGACCAAACAGCAGAGGTTGAAGAACACAGAACCTCTGACCCAAAAGGAATGCTGTGTTCTTGCTTCACCTGATGAAAAATTTGAAGAGAAACGCAGAATGCAACAAAGGTGTGGGTGTGGATTCTCTTGTCACTGAACACATACAACTTCCCCTTTGCCATGCTGAGATAATGCTTAAAAGGAACCAATTGTGCCTGAACCAGAAGGAGGTTGCTCAAAAGGAAGCATTACTCCAAAAGAAACAGAAGAAACAAAGACTCATGGTCGGGGAGAAAATGGGATATGAATGCACAAAGAAAAATGAAGTTAAAGCAAGTTACTGGATGTAAGACCTGGTTTCAAGTCTCATTTCTGCTTCTTACTATCTTCCTTTGGGAGCCTGGACTTAAGTCAGAGGAGGGGACTGGATTCTAAGGCCCCTTTTAGTTCCAAATTCTATGAGCTCCAAGGTCATATTATAGAAACAAAGGAGAAGAGCAGAATGGCTATGGATGAGCAAGAAAGAGACCAAACCAGGGTCAACGGGGATCATGGGAGATCATTTATTTATTTATTTTTAGCAATTGGGGTTGTGACTTGCCTAGGGTCACACAGCTAGTTAAGTGGCAAGTGTTTGGTCAGAGGCTGGATTTGCACTCAGGTACTCCTGACTTCAGGCGCAGTGCTCTATCTACTGCCCTGAGATTTTTTTTTTAAAAGCCAGTTTCAACTGTACAACCAAAATCATTGGTCAGAATTAAAAGGGAAACAGTTAAATGGAGGGGGTGGAGAGGGTGTCTTTGCAGCAAATCTCTGATTAAGGTTTTATATCCAAAATGTATAAATACATTTCACCTTGCACCCTTTGCAAACTGGCAAAGATGACAAAAGATGGCAATAATCAATGCTGGAGAAGTTGTGGGAAGATAGACACACTGATACATTGTTCGTGGAACTGTGAAATGGTCCAACCATTCTGCAAAGCAATTTGGAATTATTGCAAAATAACTAAAATGTCCTTACCCTTTGACCCAGAGGTTCTACTATCAGATTTATACCCCTACGGAAGCCACTGATAAGAAGAAACTTCCCATATACATAAAAATATTTGCAGCAGCACTTTTTTGGGAAAGTAAAAAATTAGAAATAAAATAGATACCCATTAGCCGGTGAACAGCTAAACAAATTGTGGCCCATGAACATAATGAAATATTACTGTGCTATAAGAAAAGGTGAATGTGATGAATACAGAGAAGCATGGAAAAATATACATGAACTGATGCAGAACAAAGAAAGCAGAACCAAGAAAACAATATACACAGTACCTACAAAAATAAATGGAAAAACCACAAAATAATCAAAAGTGAATGTTGCAAAATTTTCAACAAGTGTGGCTCATTAAGAGATAGAAGATTCTTCCAACCCACCCTTTTGAGGAGATGAGAGGTACACAGGTATTGGACATTACACACATTTTAGGACTTTTTCAATGTATTAATTGGTTAGGCAGATTTTTCCCCCTCTTTTCTTTTGTCTTTAAAAACTACTATTTGTTACATGGGATGGTTCTCTGGGAAGGAAAGGGGGAAGGATACTAGGGTAAATTATGGTAATGTAAAAAACAAAAAGACTATCAGTAAAAACCCATTTTAAAAAAGAAAAAAAAATACAAGCACAAGAGTTATTCCCCAATATATGAATGGACAAAGAATACAAACAGGCAGTCCGGAAGAAGAAATCCAAGCTATCAACAACCATATGAAAAATGTTCCAAATTACTAGTTTCTAATTATAATACTAATAACAAATATAATTAACAATAGCAAATGCAAATTGAACAACTGAGATTCTATCTCACACTTGTTAGATTGACAAAGATGACACTAAAGAAATCTGATTATTAGAAGAGGCACACTAATGAACTGCTTGGGAGCAATGAATTGGCCTAATCCTTACGGACAGCAATACAGAACTACACTAAACTGAGCATACCTCTGACCCAGCAATGCCATTATTATACCTATACCCCTGAGACATCAAAGACAGCAAGATCCCCTATGTACTGAAATATTTATGGCAGTGCTTTTTGTTACAGCTAAGACCTAGGCCTGCATCATTTGGGGAATGGCTGAATAACTTATAGTATATGAATGTAGTACAATATTGCTGCTGTCTGTCCTTTGTTAAAGAGGACCAATGACATCACGGGTGATGTATTATGTGAGGCAGACTTGCAGCCTCACTATCTCTTCCTGAGTCCCTGAAGTCCAGTGGCAGGATAAAAGTCAAGATGACTGGTGATGGCCTGGAATGCAGTGGATGACCTTGGCACCTTCCATTTCTAACCAATCTCTAAGTGCTCCACAGCGCTTGCTTTGGCTACCTTCGTGGCCATTGGAACAAATCATTCTCATCCGCTCATTCAGCCAGAGAAAGTCTTCAGACTCTGAGGGTAGATATCTCCCTACCTCACCAACAAATTTGAGGCCTGACAGTTACTCTCAACCTAGTTTAGCCTTTCTGCTGAAGGCTGTTTAACAGGGTGTGGCCACTGTGTGTGCTATAGCTTCTTGGAGCTGCAGGTGAGAGTTGGGTGAATCAGGTAGACACCAAAGGTAGATGAGAAGCCTTAAAAAGAGCTGGGCAAGCCCTCACACCAGAGGTGCTAGTCCTCCTGTACACACCAGTATAATATTATGAAATAATTATCAATTTAATGGAATGGATGCAGAGAAATCTAGGAGGCTTGTAATTAGAAAGGAAGTGAAGTGGGCAGCCTGTATTTGATGGTTCTTTTGGCCACAGAAACCCAGGAGAAACCAAGAAAAATACAAAATGGCCCTCAGTCTCAAGTGACAGTGGCAGAGGGTGCTATGAAATCCAGTATTTAAGCTGTCTATAAACATTAACTTAATTGTTGGCCATCTAAATGTAAAATAATCTTATTTTCAATCAGGTGTCTATTTATAGTTAGACCACTGACTTGTTAGAACAAAGATCAAAACCAATACCAAAGTAGAAAAAATAAAAATGAAAGAAGGCTATGACAAACCGTCAAGGACCGACTGACCTAAATAAGCCGCCCGTGTTGAAATGGGAAATGGATTTTTAAAAAAAAGGCAACAATCAGCATTTCCTTACGGAAGTGCAACTAATGTAACCAAATGCCACAATAAAGAGACCCACTGCCTAGATACCACCTGTGCCAACAAACACTGCTCTCCTGCACAAGTAGAACATGTGTGAAGGCCTTAAGAATCTTATCCACCCTCCCAGCTTTGTCCCATGAATCTTTCGTACGTTTTACGTTCCAGCAAAACTGTTCTCCATCCCCCACTGTCATGGGGTCCCCTACTGCCACTTTTGTACCTTGGCTCATGCCACACCCCAAGTTTGGAAGGGACCGCCCTTCTCCCTCTCCTCCATCTCCATCTGAAGGCCTCTTTCCTTCAAGAGACAATACAGATGCTGCTCCTCCTTCCAATGACTGGGGTTTCTAGCACAACATTCCCCGTCTCTGCCACTAATTTTCTGTGACCTCTACAGAGCAAGTTACTTCCACACTATGGGTCCCAGTTTCTCATCTGTAAAATAAATGAATTGAAGTCTATTATCTCCAAAGTCCTTTCTAGCTCTGTGAGCCAGTGATTCTAGTATCTCCCTTGCCTACTTCACAACTCAACCTGAAGATCAAATGAAGATGTCTGTGACGCGTGTGAAGTGCCATCCAGTTTAAGGTTCTATCTGTTCCTAGGATGACAGACCTGGAAGGGACTTGATTTTTCCAGTCCTACACCCTCATTTACAGACAAATTATCTTATTATTCATTCACGCTTTCTTTGTTTTGCTGCTGTTACTGACACCTCTGACGGATGCTTAGGGAATTGCCCTAATCTAACACAGGCTCTTTATCATCTTCCATACAAGGCCACAATAACCCTTCCCACCCCTACTGGGAAGGATCCGGCCTAGACAAAGGACTGATCCCAGCACAGCGCTGGGAGAGACTCCAGCATCCCAGCAAAATGTCAGGTACTGACAAGCACCTGGTGGTCCTGTGTTTTCACTGAGAGTGGGCTGAAACCAAAACCGATGGCCGTGAAAGGGAGAAACATCATTAGTCCAAGCTGCAAGTGTGTGAGTCCCAGAAGCAAGAGACGCATTTTGGCAGAATTACAAAACTAGAAATCAAGTAACAGCATCCACGCTGGACGGGTGGGAAAGGAGTAGTTGAGGGATAGGGGTGAAGAAGAGAATGTTCCTCGTCCTTAGACTTCACTATATGGTGAGTCTCGAAGCTTGGATCCAAAGGTAGCTAAGAAGATATTCCCTACCCTTGCCCCTGATGAAAGAAACAAACTCAATACGATTTCAGTCCAATGTCATGCCAGTTTCTACTCGAAAGGCTATGGAAATTCTGACACCGACCACTCAAATACTGTTCCCGTTTTGCAGGCAAAAATACTGGGGCTCAGATGGGCTAATAAGTGACTTGCCTATTACTACACAGCCAGGAAGTGTGACTAGAATCCAGTTCTCCTGACACTCCATTCTACACATTCTCCTTCCCCTTGGCTGCAATAGCAGCCATCTGCTTGAAGTCCTGGAAAGATCATTCACATAGAAAGTAGACTGTTGTAGTGGAAGGTACCTTAGAACATAAAAGATTATCACTTTTTTTTAAGGCCATGAAGAGGAAGTATTTTTATTCCTAAAAATGGCTTAGAACTCACTAAAATTTAATTCCCATCAGCCATTAACAAAAAACTAGCACCGAGGCAGTGAGGCTAAAATAATTTCAAAAGCTGCCCATATCCTGCCACAGCAAGGTAAGGTCACTGGCGCCATACCTATAATCAGTGAGCAAAGCTTGTGCATAGGGGCAGCTAGATGTCACAGTGGATAGAGCACCGGCCCTGAAGTCAGGAGAACCTGAGTTCAAGTCTGGCATCAGACCAAACTCCTGACACTTACTAGCTGTGTGACCCTGGGCAAGTCACTTAACCCCAATTGCCTTTAAAAAAAAAAACTCATGCATAACTGTGTTCCTAGGCCTATGTTATCATCTGTAGACACCACATTTGGCAGGAATGGAGGGAAAAGGCTAAGGAAATTTTTTCAGTCCTTCAACTAGACTCCTAGAACCTAAGGCATGGGTGAAGTTCATCTGATAAGCCCTTTTCTCTCTAGTATCAGAAAGAAGGGCAGCTTTAAGCCCCAAGCATGTGACTCTATCAACTTCTCAGTCTCAAGGGACTCTTACCTGCAAACATAGTCTATCCATCTAAGCTCCTTACAGGCAAAGACAGTGCCATTTTCTCCTGTGTCCTTGCACTGAACGAAGAGAAGGCTTAGAGTAATTTTGCCTTCTGAGACTAAGGATTGCCTCAGATAGCACCACCACTTCCACAATGAGATATTCCACGGGGGATGTCTGTGCAGGCACATCAAGTCAGAAGTCCCTCCCCTCGTGAGGCAGGGCCAGAGTGGGGGTGGGGGAGGGAGAGCACCTTTCCATCCAGCATACCTGAATCCCCTTTAAGGATACCATTCTATGAGAAACTGAGGCCCGCACAGCGACAATTTGAAAACCCCACAGTCAATTCATGTATGGTCCTAATTTTTTTGTTCTGCTTTGAATATGGAAATGTTCACCTTACCTGGTATTAGCTGTATTCAGGATAGGAATTTGAAAGGAAGAATTCCCAAAGCCAAATTCCATAAGGGGAGGGGAGGAGGAAGGAAGGAAAGCTGAGAGCAAGCTGTCCACGGTGCCCATCTGGAGCCACCCTGCCCCTACCTTGCTTGCTCTAATACGGGATTAGCAAAGGCCTAAGAAGAGCCTTGGAATAGAGGTTTCTCTAACAGAGTCTGAGGGCTGTTCCCTCTGAAGTAATTGCCCATCCACTGTGCCAGCCAAAGGTCTGAATGAGGCCCACCTGATGTTATCAATCCAACAGTCGATGACGACAGGAAGGAGTAGCTCTAAATTCAACCACAGGGTAAAATAACTGTCCGTCTTCTTGGAGCAAAGGTAATGGACTACTGTAGGTTTGTCTAGCTTGGCTTCCAGCTGGTTTCCCAAGTCACCAGGTACTGCAAGAAAAAAAAAGGCACAGTGTGAGATGTCTAGTAACAGCAGAATGGTTCCAGGAATCATGCACCATTAGGACACTGGCCAATGGAACCCAATGCTAGAATTACTGAAATGCCCTCTGTGGTTTCAGAGTGCCTGATTAACTGAACTCTCCTCCCAGGCCATGGTTTACCTAAGATGCTTGTCATTTCGATATTATGAGACAAAACCCAAAGGCAGGAGAAGACACTGGAATCAGGACATAGAGCTATAATGGATCCTCCTCATTTTACAGAGGAAGAAATACTGTGGTTCAGAGAGGAAAAGCAACTTAGTACAGACACACAGCTCACAGAGGCAAGATGTGAACCTAGGTCCTTCTGACACCAAATCTAATGTCCTTACCATTAAATACCGTCCAACAGACCTTTATAAACAAAGCTCACAGAGCATAAACACTTAAAGGAATGCCTTAGATCTTATCTAGCCCAACTCCTTAGTTTTATGGATGATGGAACTAAAGCCTAGCCCAAGATTATCTATCAAGGGCAGGAGCCAGCAGCCTCCCTTTAGGAGGGATCAGCACATGCTGCCTTGCAGGATCGAAAAAAAGGGCAAGCAGCTCCTCTTGACTGGCAGGAATCCTTCCATGACCCTAGTGTTCACCACGTGCTGGTTCCCCGTAGGATAACTGTTCCATATATTCTTGAAGGCCACAGTTACCAAACTATCTGGTTTACTCTAGAAACAGCAGCCACCTCACTCTTTCTTCCAGCAGATGTCCTATGGTAAATGAGGCTATGGGGTGGTGAAGGCTAGCTATAGCCATGGGCAAGAAGCCAGAATTCCATCTCCAACAGTAACACCACAGATGACCCAGCCTTGCCTCTCACACATCCTGGTGAGAAAGTGATCTGGGGAATATACTTGACAGTTCAATGGCTGGCGACTCCCCCTCAAGGTTTCTTTCTATTAACTTGTCTGGAATGACAACTTGAAGAGGCAGACTTAGATAAGACCCCACCTAATCTGACTCCTAGCCTAGAGTTCTACTATATCATTCTGTGACTAGCGTGCAAGAAAAAAAAGCAGTCAGCCTTTTACTAGGCCTCCTTCAATGTCCCATGGAATCCTAAGAGACAGTTAGCAAAGGCAATCACAAGCCCAACCTAATTACAATCCAAGCACCTTTTGGACAAACACGACTAGGGTCCGAGGTTTCACCAAAGCTGGCAAACTCTGTGTTTATCAGCCATGCCAAGCTCTTTCCTTCTCTATCAGTGCAGAGTCCTGTACTTCTGGGAAGAGTCACCATTCCCAGAAATAACTTGCTTACTCCCAGGTGATACCCCAAAATCACCTTTCTCCCTGTCTTTCAAAGTCAGAGTAATTGTAATTCACGTACAGCCAGTCCCGGACAAGGCCTTAAGAGACTCATGGAAAAGATAGGCATGCTTCACTTGGCAGGTGCCAAGCCCTCATCTCCTGATTTCCACCCCCCCCAGGGCCAGGTGTCAACTTTAAAGGAAGAGAATACATTTTAAAGTCCCAACCCAGCAAAGCATTACGCTAATGCAAAATACCCAAGCTCTTAACTTCAGACACTTAAGGTTATGAGTAATGGAGAAGCTGGTAGATAAAAATCTCTTACTAAAAGCTCACTTAGAGGATAACAGAAACTGAAGCTGGAAGGAGCCTAAGAAATCATCTTGGCTAGCTAGCAGTCCTCTTCTTGCAAGGGCCCTAGGAACCCATGTGCACCAATCACTGTAATTGTAATCTTTATTAAAAACTAACAAAATATAAAGATGACTCATTATGATAAGCAAATGCACCTTCTGTAAACTATTTTCAAATGTGTCTAGATTTTGCAATTAACAAAACAGCAAGTCATTTAAGCACTACTGAATCCCAGCTTTTTGTTGTCATGTCTTTTTTAATGTAAAGAGGGTCTTTAGCTTGCGTGACAAATGCAGAGTGACTCTTGACCTCCCCGGCTTCCTTTAAGTGCCAACTAAAATCCCACCTCCTACAGGAAGCCTTCCCCAACCCCTCTCAACTCCAGTGCCTTCCCTCTGCTAATCATTTCCTATTTATCCTGTCTATAGCCTGCTTTGTACGAAATTGTTCGAGTGCTGTGGCCTTCATTAGATGGTAAAATCCTTGAGGGCGAGGGCTCTCTTTTTGTATCCCCAGCCCTTAGCACAATGCCTGGCAAACAGCAAATACTTAATATGTATTGATTGACTGGAAAACAAGATACACAACAATGTTGCTGGAAAAAAACAAATCACATGAAAGTCAACACTTGGTCCTTTGATGACCAAGCTTAGCACCATAAAGCAGAAAAGAAAATGCAGCACCACAGTCCCCTCTGCAGTGCACAGGTGGGGACTGTATATGCAGAATACAGATGTACCTATCTGACCCTGGTCTGTAATGGTTAGTTTTGCTGATGTCTTGCTTCCAAAGACATCCCAAAACAGGCAGTCAGGCGGAAACAAGACTGCTTTAAAAACAAAAACTGATAAAAAAAAAAAAGATAAAAATTTTAAAAGCTAAAACTAGGGGCAAAAAAATTAGAAACTGACTCAGCTGAATATACTTAGTTATTTTGCTGATGAGAAAGCTAAGGATTTCAGAGATTAAGCAGATAGAGCAGTCCTGGAGTAAGGAGGCCTGAGTTCAAATTCAGATTCACATGTCCTAGCTGTATGAACCTGGGCAAGTCACTTAACCTCGCCTATCGATCAACGAGATATAACAAAGCACTTAGCGCACAGTGCCTGGCACAGGGGAGGTTCTATATAAAAAAAGTTTATTCCCTTCACTGCTCCTTACATGATTTATTTGGAGTCTGATGGCCTGCGTTTGGGTTCCAAGTCTGAGACCTTAATTGTTTGGTTAACTGAAGCCTTTTCACAAGCCTTACTGGATAAGCCCCAGCCAGAAGCTTCTCGTATCAACAAAGAAAACACAGGGCAGGAGAGGGGAGCTTTGGATGTCTCATCTGCCTCCCTGAGACAACAGAGAATCCCCATCACCAAAGGGACATGCCCCCAATGCCTAGGAGATGCGATACTCAACGCCCAGAGTGTCAGGCAAGTCCCTAATCCAGGCAGTGACCAAAGGTTAACTGCACAGGACTAGTGGCAAAACAAGCCTTCCTCTTGGCCAAGGCTGAAGGGGGCATGTGTGTTTTTAGACATGACTAATGACGACACTTCTGTTACAAGACAGGGTTTGCGGTTGGTGGAAGTCTTTGGGAAATAATTAACATACAAAAAAAGAAAAGTATCAACACAATATTTAATAAGGGAAAAGGCTCATCTAGCTGATCTGGCCATACATCCAACCCTAGCCACCCCATTGTGCAAATGGAAAAACAGAGGCCAAAAGATTAGGTGATGTGCCCAAGGTCACTGTGCAAAAGCTATCAAGGCAAAAGCCTCTCTAGCCAATGGGTAGTAAGTCCATTACTCATTACAAACCAAGGGGGAAAGGTTGGCTTCTTCTTTTAACCAGCATTTGTGAAAGTGCAATCAACCCCCTTGGCAGGTCTACCTAAGAGGAGGGAGGAGGAAAAGGGGAGGAGGGAGGAGGAGCTGCCTCCCTGGTATTAAACTTGACTTGTCCAAACCCGCACATGAAGGGCTCTCCTCCAACTTCCCCAAAGGGCCAGAATAGTGCCAAAAATACGATTTCCTAGCCTTAAGCAGGTCAAAAGCCTTCAAGTGACAGCCTTGCCCAAGACGGTGGAGCAATACCGCCAGCAAGAAACAGGAACTCAGCCTGCCTGATTCGGGAAAAAAACAAGGCATTTCAATATCATTATAAAGCGATCAAGTACTTTCTTCTAGGCAGAGCCAGTTTGTGAAGAAAGGGCAGAAACCGGAGTCAAAAGAACCACCTAGGTCCTACCCAGCCCTAGCGCAGCTGTTTACTGGCTCAGGGCGCCTTCAACAACTCATGTATCCCGAATTTAGAGATGAGGAAACTGAGAGTCAGAAGTTAATACCTGCCCTGAACGTGCCACAGGCTTGTGTATAGGGAGTGTTACAGAAAGTACCTAAAAATGAAGGTAGCATAGCACCATTTCATCTCACTCTCTCAACAGCCCTGCCCATTAGATCGGGCCAAGTGATTATTCCTACTCTACAGATGAACAAAGGTTCAGAGCAGCTGCCCATGGATTCCTAAGCTCTTTCCATTCTACTATACTTTGCTTCCCTCTCTCCTTACTTAGCTAAAAATAATTTACTATTACTTAATAATCTAGCAGTTATACAGCATTTTTAAAAGTAGGCAAAGAATGTTATCTCACTGATCCTCAAAACAACTCTGGGAGTTAGGTGCTGTTATTACCCCCACTTTACAAATGAGGAAAATGAGGCTGAGCAACTTTAAATGATTTACTCAAGGGTCAAACAACTACTGGGCAGCAGGTGGCACGATGGATAGAGTGCAGGAGCTGAAGTCAGGAAGACTCATCTTCCTGATTCTAACTCTGACCCCAGACACTTACTAGCTGTGTGACCCTGGGCAAGTCACTTAATCCTGTTTGCCAATTTCTCTTCTGAGCTGGAGAAGGAAATGACAGTCATGGAGTTGGACACGAGTGACAACAAACAGCGACTACATATGAGGCAGAATTCACATTCAAGAGTTCCTGACTCAAATCCAGCCACTCTTACCCGCGTGTCTCCTAGCTACTCTAGCACAAGACTCCTTTGCAATTTCTCTTTCATCTTCTTATATTTGAGAAATGAGGTCTTTATCAAAGAAACTCCCTGTAGAAAATGTTTCTCCCAGTGTCCCACTTTCCTTCTAATCTTGGCTGCACTGGTCTTGTTTGTGCAAAACAGTTTCAATTGAATGTAACGTAAATGATCCATTTAGCTTCCTGGGATATTCTTTCTCGTTTGCTCATAAATTTTCTTTATCCATAGATCTGAAAGGTATATTTTCCATGTTCCTCTATAATTTGCTTATGATATCACCCTTCATGTCTAAACCATGT